AGTTTTTTTTTTTTTTTGATTTTTATAATCTTTTATAGATGTATTATATAAAATAGGACGCTGCGCTATGGCTAAAATTAACGCTTCCTCAATTTTTGGGGAATCGGTTCGTGAGATCAGCCAAGTTAGTGAGTACCGATATCCCTAGGGTTTACTGTACTGTGCTGTGCTGTAACCAACATAAATGTTTATGGTGTAATTTACTGCAAATTGTAGACTTTGGAGTACCATGACAATTTTTTTTTTTTTTCAGAATCTGTATTTGGTTAGAATAGATGATTGGATGCACATTTGAAGCAAACTTTAGTTTTTGGAAAGCTGTTATATAAATAAAACCTGAGAAAAATACAATAAAATCAATAATGATTCATCTGATAATAATAAAATACTGTGGAAAATATTCCAATTACATAACCTACTAAAGTAATAAAAACAGTAGCACCTAATAACTTTAAACAATATTAGGTAGTACAACTGTTTTCAACATTGACAATGTTAAAAAAAATGGTTCTTGAGCTGCAAATCATCATATTAGAATTATTTCTGAAGGATCATGTGACACTGAAGAGTGACAACTGAAGTAATGGCTGCTGAAAATTCAGCTTTGCATCACAGGAATAAATTAGATTTTAAAACACATTAAAATATAAAACTATTGAAATTGTACTAATATTTCACAATACTGCTGTTTTCACTGTATTTTTGATCAAATAAATGCAGCCTTAGAGACATCAAGGGTCTTCTTAAAAAAAAGAAAAGAAAAAAAAAGTAAATGTAAAAATTTATTGACCCCAAACTTTTAACGGTAATGTACATTGCTTAATAAATTAATTGTATGTCAATTAATTAACATAGCTTAATTGTATGGCTGTTTATTGTTGCCAAGAAATGACACAGGCGTGCATATATACTATCAGTTTTATAACAGTAATTGATTTTGATTAGAACACAATTGATTTTGGCAGTTGTCTGAAAACTGAGAGCTAGCCAGTGTTGACTAGTTGATTGCTTTAGCTTAAAAATACGTCTAACCAACAGTCCCTAAATGAAATTGCAAACAAAAATGGTTCAGGTCGACTTTGTTTACTTTACTTGAAATGGTACAATTCAGTAATATGCAAGCATGTGATGACTACCACATTCTGTGCTACTACTTATCAAACCTAGTGGTGGTCTTAGACATCAAACCCACAGATTTATCTCACTTATCCTTCTCCTACGGTCTTTCATTTAGTCAACATTGAAACACATCGAATCAAAAAAAAAAAAAAACTGGTCATATTGTGACCAGTTCATCAAGACAAATTTGTTGAGGGCCCCTGAAACATTAGGAAATCAGGAAGCCCTGCTGCCCAATTACGGGCATCTGGTTCTGGTACTCCAGTGATTACAGCTCCCCTGCTAACTTACACAGGCACCAGAAGACAGACGCATACGCATATACATGAGCAATTTCAAATTACTTATCATTATCATGCTAATGACCACTCATGCATGCCACGTCACAAGCCGCCCTTGGTTTCCTTGACAATACATTCACATTGCCCTGGAAAAAACACTCAAGTTCACTCACTTGCGTGTTTGTCAGCCAGCTGGATGAGGCTCTGTGAGATGTCTCTTCTCCTGTAGAAACAGACCACCTTTGCCTCAACATTGCCGCTTGCAGTCTGAAAGGAGCGACAAACAGGGTCACCATGAGGGAACTTCCTACAGTATCTGGGGAAAGTGAACCTAACACCTCTGTTAATCAATACTTAAAAAGCTCGAACCTGAGGTTGCAGTCTATTATGTTTAATCAGTGGTGCAGTGTTGAATTTATTGAATTTTTTTTTTAAAAAGACAACAGTAGACAAGGTTAAAAGGAGCATGTGACAATATACACCTGATAAATAAACAAGAATCAATTTGGTACTGAGTAATTCAACAAGATAAACAAAATATTTATGGCTGTTAATCAATGAAAAATTCTAAAACAATTAGACACATGATATTAGGACTGGGCAGTATGACAATATGTATCATGGCAACAATATGAAATTGATAGAGATTGTGTTGTATACAATTGAAGTTAAAAGTCTACACACACCTTGCAGAATCTGCAAAATGTTAATTATTTTACCAAAATGAGAGAGATCATACAAAATGCATGTTATTGTTTATTTAGTACTGTACTAGATATTTCACATAAAAGATGCCTACATATAGTCCACAAGAGAAAATAAGTTTATAAAAATGTATAAAAATGACCCCGTACAAAAGGGGTTAAACATCTTTTATGTGAAATATCTTATTCAGGTCAGAACTAAATAAATAATAACATGCATTTTGTATGATCCCTCTTATTTTGGTAAAATAATTCACATTTTGCAGATTCTGCAATGTGTATGTAAACATTGCTTCAACTGTATATTGTGGTATGTAAATATATCGACATAGCGAAGGACTGTTTTAAGTTATTGACTTTACAGCAATAAAGAAACAGCAATAAAGAAACATATGTGAAAGAGAAAAAGTGCAGGATGTGCTTCAAGTTAAAGAATTAAGCAAAATAAACTGCAAAAAATAACTCAACTGCTTTTGACTGAATAACTTCTGTAGTTTCTATAAGAATAAATGTATATTTCATTTGTGTAGTGAAGACAGATGTTTTATTTTTACATTTCATTATTTGATTTCCTACTTGAATGCTACTGTACAATAGACCAAATGTACCTGAAAAATTTAAGTTTTTTCTTATTGCATTTGTATTATTGTTTGTCATGTCCATCTTAGATCTTATTTATAATAACAAAGGAAAATTATATATATATCTCATTATCATCAATTAAAATAAAATAATAAAAAAAAATAACTCACATAGTGAAATAAGATGTTGGTCATATCGCCCACCCCAACAAGACATGCATGTTAAATTAATTAAATCTACTTTCAATTAATCACATAAATCAATATTTGCTAGGAAAATCTCCATATGAAGATAATTTGATAATTTTACTACATTAAAATGTTAAACTGACAGCTCTGAACCAAGTATAATAAAATTCACCAGACATACAACATAGCCAGCATGTATTCTGTACATTTTCAGTACATTTGATTCAACTTATTTTCTTTGAGTATGCAATCATTCAGTATCCCAAAAGGCTACTTTCTACTATGGTAAAGGACTATCAATTTCTAGAAGTGGTTGTGGAAGAAAGATTATGTAGACTGAATGCATCTCAATGGCCATAGGTTGATTGTTCGGATGCCAAGTAGAATAACAACCTGCAAGCGAACTGAATTTGCCGGACAACTGAATCCTCTCTTCTGACAAACATGTCAAAAGATACATCACGTCTCCTGAAGAAGTGATGACTAACAGATGAGAATATTGTGCAGTGAAGCATGCTGACAAAAATAATTTCGCATTGTGCATTATGAGTTATGCTAAACCTGGGGTGCTTAAAATCCCTCAGCATTTAATATTTAAAGAGCTGAATCTTGTTTTGTCATAATGCAGACATCTTACAAAAAAACAAAAGATGTCAGCTTCACACCACAGCCTACTTCTCTAAGGGACCCCAGGATGCAGTCTGCTGCTTTGTGATCTCACACAGATACAGTTTCTCAGCAAACAAGTGTTGGAGATATGACAGACCGAAGGGAGAAGCGCACAGAAATGCACGTAATTTGGCTTTGGGCGAGGTGGCTGAGCTTCTTGTGTCGATGTCATGACAATGTTTTGTCGACACCCTACCAGTACACCCAGTGTCCACCAACCCAGATTTCTCCCTCCCAGCCCTGAGGGAAATGTACCTTATTCAGTTCCTCTATTCGCCTGATCAGATAAGGGTTGCTTGAAGAATTCTCAAAGAAGACATAATCTGCAGAACAAGATAAAAAGCACTGGATTATTTTGGTATCAATATAAAAACCAAATTTTCGGGATTGTCTGACAGTTCAAAGTCTTAATATATTCACATTGCATAAAAACAGTGCATCTCATTATCCTTGGTATATTAAAAATGTTCTATTACATATGCAATCTATCACCACAGCACATTTCCTATATGTGGAAATTTTACCAAATACAGAACTGTTTATGATGTGAAATTTGGTTTAGATACAGTTCAAAACAATACAGTCTACTGGGGCCAGATTTAACTGGTTACCATAGTTCATTCATTTACTATAGGGGGAAATGAAAATTTTAATCATAACTGCTGGGCATTTAAGATAAGAAAATCCTCACCAAAAAGTATTTTTAGGTAAATGGTCTCTCCCTCACAGACTGAAATAATGGGTAATGAATAAAGTATTCATAAAGCGCAAGGTATTAAAGATAAAACTACCTTTTGAATCAAGTAATACCTCCAATACTTATGTTTAGATAATGAAAGAAATTCCTAGAGCATTTTATAACGCACTACTGGGTCTGGTTTATAAAAAATACCCTACAACACACAGAAACTATGAGTCTAAGACTTTAGAATTGGCCTTTGACTGAGTTTAAGTAATGAATTGTTTATGTCTGGTATACATGTAGAAAACACTTTCTCTTAAAGGCAAGATGAAGAAGAAGAATATGCTATTGCATGCTTGCAAACAAACAAACACTTAATTCATGCTAACAAGCGTATTCTGTTTTTGGCCATACGAGTCACATTCCGATACATGTATCTACGGTATAACCGAGCACACACAAGCAAAGGGTCACATTAAAACCGTACAATGCAATAATTTGTCACATAGACGCTCCATTCAAACGTCTGCTCAAGCTGTAAAATCATTTTAAATGGCACTGCATTAACGGCGCCATGAAACAATGTCAAATTCCGCGGCGTGTAGCCGGCTAATTGCACAAACAAACGACACGACGGTTTTGTATTAAAACGTGTTTACGATTAGACGCATGACAACAAATACACTTCAAAATAGTGCACATTCACAATGTTTCAGCGAGTAAGTGGGCAGAAGTTCACTGTGGTTTCTCTGTGGAAAACCGAGTGAGGGGTTGCTGTTAAATGCTAGCTCGCTTTGCTACCTTGCATGCCGATTGAGGACCCGTAACTAATGGATACGTGCCAAAAAATGAGACAAATGATCACAAAGAAAAGCATCGGCGTCAAAAATCGGCATGGCTAGGTCGCAAGCACAACTCGCTTTTCTCCTGTAAGATCAAAGCCGACAGAAGCGTGCTCTATATACGTGTTTCCGTGTGTTTTACATATAGTAATGATTATTTGTTTATGATGTGGCTAGCTAGCAACATAGCCTGCTTGCTAAAATGCTAGTGCGGCTATGATAGTTTAAGAGGCCTGACCTACATCAGAACCCAACATATTCTGCATCCACGTTATCGCTTTCTTTTGCAAGGACACTGCACGTGTTAAGAGTTTAAAAGTAAGCGGCCGGTTGCGGCAATTCCGTTGAAACGAGCCCCTGCCTCCCAGACAGGTCTTGCGGTGGTGCCTGTGTTTTGACTTGAGTTAATTCAGAATATAGACGGACATACCTCCGACCCGGTACATGTTGGCCGCCATTTCTGCCCTCCCGGAGAGTTAAAAAAAACAAACCATAAACTAAAATAAAAACAAAATAAATATGTGAATCAAAACGGCATCTACGTCCTGTGACCTGTTAAAACGCAATCTGGCTTAAGATGTTTTAAATACGGGGCATGAACCTCTGTAAGAATAGGAGATTTTTTGCAGCCCCCCTCCCGAGATTCACAGTACAATACAGTAACTCACTCACGCACTAGAAAAGGCTCGAGCGCAGCGGCTTCCTGATGATGAGAGAGGAGGAGAGAAAAGAGGGAGGGAGGGAAGGAGGAGGGTGACTCAACGTCTACAGACTGCACCCTCAACTTGACACTCATGCCCGTTTTACACAGAGCTTCAAATTAAACTTGGTTAATGTATTTTTACATACTTACTTTTATATTAAATTATTTATATTACTTATTTTTAAGTAATATTTAAAGGGGTCATATGATGCGATTTAAAGTTTTCCTTTCTCTTTGGAGTGTTACAAGCTGATTGTGCATAGATAAGATCCCTGAAGTTGCAAAGACTAAAGTCTAAAAACCAAAGAGATATTCTTTATCAAAGTTAAGACTCTGCCACGCCCCCCTAAAACGGCTCGTGTGAGAGAGAGAGAGAGCGCGCGAGAGAGAGAGAGAGAGAAAGAGAGAGCGCGCGCGAGAGAGAGAGAGAGTATGGGAAGCCAAACAACCCAAATGTGGGACGAAACAGCGCGGTATTAAAGTGTTCGCGCCGCGCTGACCTGTTTTGTTATTTAACTTTAACATTGCAATTTTATATAATGGATGCGGTTTGTAAGGCTTTTCTCTACACTCCAAATTAAATAAATAAATAAATTTTAATTAATTAAAAAAACTCTTTAAAAATTAGGGACAGTGTATGTAAATTCAATATGATGTATTTTGAATTTTGCACTGCATTGTGTTTTAGGTTTATCGGAAAACACATTAAAATTAACCATGATTTTATTACACTAACCTTTTAACCATACATTTGTAGTTAAACTGTGGGTTAAAAAAAATGACAATCAATCCATGGTTACTGCACTTTTACTATAGTAAAACCATTGTTAATTTCCATATTTCCATAAGGGAAAATGTATGTCCTTTCAGAAAAGTATCAGTACAGGCTTGTGTACTGCAAACACATACCAGCTTCATCACTGTGTCCGTCACACGACTCTGTTCCCCTTTCGGGCTCTGTCTTTACATTTATTTTGAAAGATGAAGCTTGCGATTATGGTAAGGGGGTTACATTTCCGACGAGTGCTTGCGGTGTTCGGCCAATCACAGTGCACTGGGTCAGCTGGCCAATCAGAGCAGACTGCGCTTGTCGGAAGGAGGGACTTTGTAGAAAACGAAGCGTTTGACAGAGGCGGGGCATAGAGGACCTACAATAATGTACAGTATTTGAAAAATAATGTGTTTTTTGAACATTAAAGCATGTCAACATATTCTGTTACACCAAATACACAAAATAATTATCTTTAAAAAAGCATCATATGACCCCTTTAAAATAAACATAGTTTAGACTGTAATATTTGCCGATGTAAATCTTTTTACTATGACAATAAATATTTAAAAGAGTTTTACTCTGGGTATATTCTTGATACAACATTTAAAAAATATTGAAGATAATAAGATAAAAGACAAATCTAAGATCATTTCAGTAACGAATCAGTGAGTGAGTGAGTTGTTCGAATCATTAAGACTGAATTGATTCATGAACCGATTCAGACCTGGTAACCTGTTGGAATGATTTGGATCAAAAGACCGATTAATTCGCTCTTTTTGCATTCTGATTCATTCATTGTAAAATTATAAATGTAAATTAAACTTGGTTAATGTGCATTTCTTTAAAACATCATATTAAAATAATAAACATCGTTTAGCCGAATAATAGGCTAGGTTATTTGCCAATGTAAATATTTTTACCATGACAATAAATAAAAACGCCTGATACAACATTCCTGATACAACATTAAAAATAGATATAATAAGATAAAATAAAAAAGATAAGTAATGATTCGAATCAGAATGAGCTCTTCGAATTATTCCGACTGAATCACGAACCGATTCAGACCTGGTAACTTTTTTGATTCAGATCAAAATAGTTATTAATTCACGCCAGTCGACTGAAAACACAAGACTCACGACTTTATTGCTGAAAATTACACAGAGAAAATCATTAAAGGCAATAAAATAGTTTAGCAAGGCCTACTTGAATGCTAGTTTACATGATTTACAAAAACGCTACATCCAAGAGATGTAGACTAATCGCTAGAACAACACTGCTGGCCTGGATCAATCTCTAATTTTAGTTTAGGGTGTGGGTAGACAAAAAATAGGAAAAAAGCGTCCAATATTGATTTCAATATTGAACGTTTAATTCAGTCCAACGTGACGTCCTCCTGCTCTACTCCACTGCCAACCAGAGAGACGTGAAATCCAGCGAGCTCACTTGTTAATCCCAGGCATGCGTCGTGGAAAAACTCGTTTTGCGTTTGGGAACGCCCGTTCTTCTGGAGCGCACAATCGAGCGCAATAGGCTTGTCGATCTGTGACATCACTGTATGAAACAGCCCCCTGAAGGCTGGAGTTTAGATGATGCACAAAGCAAGAAGTCACTTTTCCACGGTTCTCCTAACTGACACGCACTCAATCTGGAAAAAAATCCTTTTAAAATCTGGCATAGCCTACTGAGTTGGACTCGCGAGTTTGGAGCGGTTTGTTTTTTCTCGTGCTTACAGAAACATACTGGATTTTAACTATGACTATCATTAAGCCATATTGTGCGTCGTTTCTCTCTTTTTCACTCGAATCGGTGATGCAAATCTGATCCAAAATGAAGTTTGGGAAGAATATATGCATCCTAAACGTTGGTGGCACCAAGTATGCTTTCACTAGAGAAGTTATAAAGGATTTTCCACTCCGAAGAGTGAGCAGACTCCACAGCTGTTCCTCTGAAAAAGAGGTCTTGGAGGTATGTGATGATTATGACCGAGAGAGGAACGAGTTTTTCTTCGACAGGCACTCCGAGGCTTTTGTCTTTATTATGCTTTATGTGCGATCTGGAAAGCTCAGGTTTGTCCCGCAGATGTGCGAGCTTTCCTTTTACAACGAGATGATCTACTGGGGTTTGGAGAGCTCACATTTGGAGTTTTGCTGCCAGCGACGATTGGAAGATAGGATGTCCGACACTTACACGTACTTTTCAGAGGAGGACATCAAGACTGAGGTGGAGTCCACAGGTGAGGAGGATCAGGTCACCAGGTTCGCCTCCGAGAGAGGGAACGCGCGGTGGCTGGAGAGGATGCGGAGGACTTTTGAGGAACCAGCTTCCTCTGTCGCTGCGCAGATCCTGGCATCAGTGTCAGTGGTTTTTGTCATTATGTCTATGGTCATCCTCTGTGCGAGTACTCTACCGGACTGGGATACAGCAAAAAACAATACAGTGGAAGAACACAGGTACATGCACGAATTCAACCTCTGTGGTCTGTGGTATAAATGCAAAATTAGCTGCATCTCTCACAGGACAGCTCAGCTTTATGAGCATGCCTACCCTCCATAGCTCCATAATAGAAGGAATCACGCTCTTCTCCATATCTCAGAATGAGAATGTTGTGATGGTACAAGTTTGTCCCCCTGAACTTGTCTGTCTGTATAATTCATTGCTTTGCGATGGAGCAAACTATCTTTTCTCAAAGAAAACTGAAAGCAAAACTGAAATTGAAGTTCAACTGGTCCTAATAAGGGTATTACACTGCATTGACACATTTTCTCTGTTTAGAGAAAATTTGAGAAATGCTTATAAATGAACTGGACTCCCAAAACATTTAAAATGCAAGGATATTGCATCAACATCAAGACTGTGAACAGTAATAATAGAATATAATAGAACACAACAGAATAACTTATATCTGCAATTATATTAATAATACAGCCGAGTTTTTTATTTATTTTATTTGCTTTTTAAAATGTATTACAGTAAAAACAGTATTAGCATTGGGGAAAACTTAAATTTCAGCAATGTCCATATGGTGATAATTCAAGCTGAAGCCTGCAGTGATTGTGATTTTTGTTTTCTAGCTGACGTACTTCGTCTGGCCAGTAGACGTCGCTAAAATAATCTAACGCCAGCAAGAGTAAAGGGGAGACCCGGGCTGGGAGTGTTGTAGGCTAGCACATTTCGTTTCAGCGTCTGTAACTGTAAGAGGTTTTTGCGCAGTGTGGCTTAAACTTTGATGTAATATTCTATCATTTGTCTGCTACAAAGACAAAGATAGATACAGAAGTCTACTATACCCTCAGCTGTGCAAATTAATATTGTAACGTAGAGAGTGTTGGCGTTACAATCTTCCTCACTACAGAAATGTTTTTAACACTTTTTGAAATTGAGATTTTATATTTGGCCATGCACATAATAAATTGTTTAAAATAATTATGTGAAACATCTATAAAATTAGGCTGAACGTGTGTGAGTCATTTGCTTAATTTAAACGATAGCCAACCATTCTGTGTAGCCTAATCTTTGTGGGTGAAAAGTAGCGTTACAACCCCTTTCATCTCTTCAGACAAGATATTTCTTTTTTTTTTTTAGCTTGTGTGGATAGGCCTATATATCAAATTAAACAACAGAACCTACTGAGCATACACATTGTGACATTTTACATTCATCCAGATGAAAACAATTTCATTACCTCAAAATTGTTTTCTGCCCTTGGGCCCATTATATTTTTTACAAACATACTCAAAACTCCTTTCCTCAGGAGGTTGATGATTTCACCCCTGTAGCCCAAATGGTTAAAGTGATGCTGTTACAACACTCTTTTCGTCCCAGAACTCTCACCAGTCTCCCCTGCATTTATAGACTTGTTAAGAAATTATTACAATGAGATTTCCATATTCAATGCAGGCATTTTATCGACATCCAAAGCAATCGTGACATATACTCTCCATCAGAGATAAAAAATTCCAGTCATGTTTTCATGTTCTCTGTTATGAGTCACATTGTCATTTTGGGTATTCCCTTGTCCCCATCTCTCTCTGTCTGGAAGTATTTGTGAGTAGGTTTTTCTTTATGTATCCAGTGCAGTCTTGATTCCTTTTCCCACAGTGACCACTGTTTGTCTCAGGGTTCAGGTATGTGTTCTCATATGTGTATGACGAGCTGGTAAGAGATGGAAATAAACCCAGTGAGGTTTTTCATGCATGCAGTCTTATATTCCAGAAATGGATCTCATTCCTTTGTTTTATATATATCTTTAAATGTCTGTTCATTCGTTGCCTGTAAAGGTCCAGATGTTTAAATGTATAGTTTTTATGTTCATCATGCCTTCTGAGGATGATTATAGCATATATGCATTCGTTGTTAACCCAGCATTCGTGGGCACATGTACATATATTATCACATCTTCACTTAACAATAATTCTTCTTGGCTCTATTTGCATGCCGTCCTGCCGAAACAGCTGTCCTCACGGCTCTTTATAAATTTGATTTGAACAGTACAGTAAAACCATTCAGAATGAAAGAGCACATTTCAGGGGAAAATCTTTTGTAGATGCAGCCTTTCAAAACAATGATTTCTTAGTTCAAATATTGTATTGAATATGCACTCAATTATATGAATAAAAAATCAAATATAATGGGATTTCTTTTGCACCAGAAGTTCAAAGACTACTGAGCAAGTGTATCTTCCTGCCTTTCAGCTTCCATAGACGCTGACACTTCACTGTCAACAACACACTGGAGCTGTTTACACAATCTGAATGAGAGGACATTTTCCAAATAAAGCACATTAACTGCATGGATGCATGGAATCTGATCTAAATACTTTGCATGACTTGTTTACTTACAATAACAAAATATAAACATAATTTTCCCGTAAAACGGAAGACTACTTAGCACCATTTTTTAGTGGTTATTATTATTATTATTATTATTATTATATTCATATTCACTGGTAATATTCATGGACATGTTTGGTACAGGAATATTCTGGGTTCAATAGAAGTTAAGCTGAATTGAAAGCACTTGTGACATAATGTTGATTATCACAAAAAAATGATTTTGATTTGTCCATTGTTTTCATTAAGTTGTAAGTTGTAAAATTGGATATAAATTCACACTGTCAAAAGGTTAATAAGAAAAATGCATATTGCTTATGTTTTTGAAACAGCAAGTATTTTGATGTTAATGGATTAGTCTCATTCTCTCATTTTTAAATAATATTAATGTATTTTTTTTACATGACATCTTTAAAGTGAGCTTTAGAAGGAGCCAAAACAAAAACAAACAAAAAAAAAACAAAATTAAACAGACTACAAAAGTTTAGAATAATTAAGATTTTAAATGATTTTGAAAGAAGTCTCTTATCTCATTAAGACTGCATTTATTTGATCAAAATACAGTACAACATTAATATTGTGAAATATTATTACAATAAAATAAATGTTTTCTATTTCATTATATTTTAAAATGTCATTTATTCCTGTGATGGCAAAGCTGAATTTTTAAGAAGCCATTACTTCAGTCTTCAGTGTCACGTGACCCTTCAGAAATCATTCATTAAGAAATTTAGAAAAGGAGGAAGAAGTGAAAGTTATTTTTTGTAGTAATCAACATAATGCCACAAATACTGTCAGTTGAGCTTAACTTACATGCACCCAGAAATTATAATTGTGATCATATCTCTCTTATACCCTCTAACTCTCTCTTTTTAATTTTCTTTCCATACCTCTTTCTCTCTGTTCTCCCCATCTCTCACAGGATCATCGAGGCAGTATGCATTGGCTGGTTCACTGCCGAATGCATAGTGCGCTTCATTGTCTCACGGGACAAATGTGAGTTTGTGCGCCGCCCCCTTAACATTATTGACTTCCTGGCGATCACACCTTACTACGTGTCTGTCGCTGTGACAGCGCTAACAGGAGAAAACCCTCAACTACAGCGTGCAGGAGTCACCCTGCGTGTACTACGAATGATGCGCATCTTTTGGCTAATCAAGCTGGCGCGTCACTTCCTCGGGCTGCAGACGCTCGGGCTGACGCTGCGTAGGTGCTACCGCGAAATGGTCATGCTGCTGGTGTTTGTCTGCGTCGCGATGGCGATATTCAGCGCCCTGGCACAGCTGTTGGAGCACGGCCTTGACCTGGAGACTAGCAATGAGGACTACGCCAGCATCCCGGCAGCCTGCTGGTGGGTTATTATCTCCATGACGACCGTCGGCTATGGAGACATGTACCCCATCACCATTCCGGGACGCGTGCTGGGTGGCGTGTGCGTTGTGAGTGGCATTGTGCTGCTGGCTCTGCCCATTACCTTTATCTACTAGATCGTGCTGAGAACCTGCTGGTCTTCAGCGTAGTAACAGCACCTGCTCTTCTGTGCCTTTATACTGAACCAAGATCTGAAATATAGCGAAGGAACGCGCTACTTCTGATGTGGAAAAATCAGCATTTAGACTCTCTTTGCGAACCTATTATATCCAAATAATAACACAAGTACCTCTGTACTCAAGGACACATTCTGGAATTCATTGATTTTAGACAATACAGGCATCTGAAGCAATTTCTGACTTACAGAATAAGACAAAAGAGACAAATCCCCAGCTCAAAGCTGGAAAGTGCACAATAAAGCATTACAATCCAAAAGGAAATACTTTAGCCAATGTTTGTGTTGTAAACCCCTTCCTGTGTGAACGAACAAACCCGATAGAACAGCATTTCCCTTGTATGAAATGGACAACTGTGGCATTTGACGACTACAGATGGCCAGGCTGCCTGGAACGGGCATGTGGCGGGACCTTGTGTCCTGACAGTGCTCCAGCCTATAAGGAGCTTACACGAATTCTCATGTTTCCATGGAGAGGTCCCTCCGACTTGTTAAATCATTAATTCAGCTCCCAATAAAGTGGTAAAGCAAGGGGAACTAAAGTGAAAGGTTTTAAAATGGCCAAATAGCGCAAATACTGTGAAAAGGCCTGCTCACACTAAGGGCGGTAACTGTAATAATAACAATAAAGATAAGTTCCCCTGCAGTCACTAATTTTGTCTCTTAAAACTCCTTTTTAATATCAAAATTATAATTTTTCCCCATGAAAATATATTTTATCTTAAATTGGCTTGAATATAACTCTAAACGCTTAACTCATTTAGTGTATTTGACCCTGGACCACAAAACCAGTCATAAGGGTAAATTTTTCGAAATTGAGCTTTATACATCATCTGAAAGCTGAATAAAGAAGCTTTCCATTGATGTATGGTTTGTTTGGATAGGACAATATTTGGCCGAGATACATCTATTTGAAAATCGGAAATCTGAGGGTGCAAAAAAATCAAAATATTGAGAAAATCACCTTTAAAACTTTCCAAATTAAGTCCTTAGCAATGCATATTACTAATCAAAAATTAAGTTTTGATATATTTATGGTAGGAAACTTACAACATATCTTCATGGAACATGATCTTTACTTAATATTTCAATGATTTTTGGCATAAAAGAAAAATGTAAATATAATTTTGCCCCATACAATGTATTTTTGGCTATTGCTACAAATATACTACTACTTATGACTGGTTTTGTGGTCCAGGGTCACATATATGATATGCAAGTAAGCCCCAGCCCCCATTTAATCACATGAGCTCAGACTACCTGCTTCACATCCAATCGGTTAACTGAAGTAGTAAATGCTACACAATGACAAGTGGCAACACTGGATTAATTTAACAATATATGTTTGAATCAGAAACTGATTCTAAAGTGGAGGAAGAGCAAATTATACAGCTTTGTTGATGTATCAGAATCAATGCATTTTATGTATCACTGTAAATGATATCATTAGCGTTTGGTCTGAATACATTATCAATGTTACACATCCATGTTTCTGTTCACTATCTCAGATAGCTCAGATATGAAAAGCAAGTTTATGGGATCGGTTACATGTTAGTGACAGTAGGAAAGGGGCTGTTTCAAACCGCATTTTTGAGACTTAGCATTTTGATCTTTGGTACACCACAGTTTTAAGGACAAAATACTCAGCGAGGGTGTTGTTGACTGATGAATTTGCACGTTTTAACTTTAAGCATATTAATAAGACAACACAGACATGTAAACAACATTAAAATCTTTAAAAATCATTCTAAATGTAAAAGAATAGCAGAGGCCACACCACAACTATATTGATAATGGCACAGAGGAACAATACAGTTTTTTTCCAGTTGATGAACTAAAACATTGACAGCCAGTCAGATTCCAACGTGCTTTAAAGGGGTCATATGATGCCCATTTTCCACAAGTTGATATGATTCTTTAGGGTCTTAATGAAAAGTCTGTAACATAGTTTGGTTAAAATTTCTCAATGGTAGTGTAAAGGCTGATCGGGGGAGCATTCCCTTCAGAAACAAGTGAAATCCACTGCGTCTTCAGCGGCTCAGGTGTCGGGAGTAAATGACGACTGCCTTGTGCATTTAAAGCGGCAGATGACAGAACTGCAGCACTGTTCTGCATTGTGTGTATGCTAATATCGTTATAGTTATCTTTATAGTTACAGTTCTTGGTTTTAACGGGCCTAAACACTTATTGTTTTGACATTACAGTCACTGTCGAATGTGCCATTTCAAATAAAGTTAAAGGGGTCATAGGATGCTACATGCACTTTTACAAGTTGTTTGAACTGAAATGTGTGTTGG